GTAAGCTGGCAGACCTATTAAAACAATTTTTCCCTTTTCAATGCCTTTCAGACCTGGCTGGCTTAGTGAGTGAATTATTATACACACGGTCTGATTCTGAGAGCCTTCTCCTCTGTTTCTACAAGGCACCGAATCCAAACAGAATAAGAAATATTCACTATGGTACTTTGTGTTGTGCGATATCACTGAACCAGGCCAATTGCCTTACAGTGGGCTGGGATGCAAGAGCTAATGCTATTCTTTGCCCAAGATAGGCTCACTTCTCCCCCTTCCCTTGTTAAATAGGATAGCTAATATAGCTTCTTTAGACACCAAACAAATGATAGTTATTTAGAAAAAAATCTCATAACTAAACACCATCCAACTAATGTGCTAAATCATACCAGTCATATTATTTCCCAGTTGGGGTAGTAGTAGGTGGCTCCTAATGACTTCTCCTTCCTTGGGCCCAGCCCCAGATACACAGAGGGATGTTGGTACTATGATAAAAGTGGTTGCAGGGCCCTAGCTATATATAATTTCCTGTAAGTCATCTTGGTCAAGGCTATCTTCAATGCTCCATTCTATCCCTCAGTCTAGAGGGCTGCCTCTGAGTTAGGCCACACCTCATGATCTGCCCTGCCCTTTACTCTGTGGGTAGCAAAACATGTTCCTGGATTGGAGGCTGTAGCTGAGTTAGCTTAGGTAGAGGATGCAGTGGCTCTGATGGTGGCTCCTCTGTGATTTGTCCAAGAATGCAAGCTCAAATTCAGGTTCAATAGAGTCTATTCAGTTACTGCTTCTCTAGGTTTTTTTTGCCTTTGGAATGTTCCAGGACATTTTTTCAGGAGGAGGTTTTTTTTGCCTTTGGAATGTTCCAGGACATTTTTTCAGGAGGAGCCCAGCTCTCACATCCTGACAGTTGGCTCCAGCAGCAACCAGATACTCCAAAGTTCTGGGCTCCTGCCAACCTCTGTCTCATCGCAGGTGCATGGTGCTCTGACGCACCCAGGGTGCCTCGGCCAAAGCATCCACCCGTGGCATGTTGATTGAGTTACTTAGTTGGTAAACTTGTTTTTTTCTGCCCCTCACTTGCTGTTGCCCTAAACTTATAGGTCTTTTAATTGCCCGTGGCACAGAGCTCCCTCATTGTGTGGAATGGCCATACCCTTTCCGTAGGCAGGATGTCGATGACAAAGGGTGGAAGGTAGTGCCTGTCCACTGTGGCTCATTCCCTGTTAGAAGGTAGGTAGTTCTGTGCTGCACGTTGTTACTTTTGATTCAAAGGTTAAGTCCCTGGAGGATGCCCCTGTTTGTCTGGCAGCTGAAAGTGGGGCTCAGGATCAGGGATGTTTTTGTACAATTAACTCACATAATTTTTTCCCCATTTAATAGTCAAAGACTGCTGGGCTGTATTGCTATGTGAGACCAGTGGTTCCAATTTACAAAACAACCCAGGAACCCCTGGTGACTTTTTCCACTGGTATCTGGTAGTAAGCCAGCAATTGTCTCTCAAAAGCAGTATACTTCTCAACTGCTGGAAGCATTGCCTTAGTCCAACATCCTAAATACTTTTGCTATATTTTTTCTTCTAGGATCTGCTGTCTCACCCCTTCTCCCAAACTGTCTTGGTGGGAGAGACAGAGACCTCAAATCTCATCTTTCTTTCTGATTTATAGGGCCCAAGGGGTAGAGTTGACCAGACTGTTGGCCTGTAACCTGGCCAGGGCCAATCATGGAGGCTCCCCTTGTTGCAGAAGATCCCAGAAAAACCAAGCGATGCTTTGAAGAAGTGGAGAGACACTGTTTTAATTACACTGGTGGACTCCGGGAAATAATTTCCAAATCAGAGTACCGAAACATGCAGGGGCCTTCATTTTATATCTCCCTGTGGTCTTTGCCCTGCAAATATTGATTATGCTTCCGGCCCTTTTCGCAGGCTTTGCAAGAGGCCCTCAGGTGTTGGGGGTCTCTAGGCCATATCTGATGGCCTGGCTTGGTGCCAGTGATAACAACCCTCCCGGGCAGTGCACTGTTCACAGGTTTATGGCCTCTGTAACAGATTCTGCTAAGACCAGTTTCTGGGAAGGAGGTAATGACTTAATTATAGGTTAGCTTGCTGGCATGGATTCCAATTGCTAGCCCCCCAAATATCAGGATTACATTTGAATTAGCCCTTTTTACCCTCCTCACCCTGAATCCATTCAAAGTATGTGGCCTTTTGGATAACCCAAGATATGGAGTGTATAAGAACTCCAAGGGGGAGCATACATTGACTCTAAAACCCAAACACACCCATGAGCTTCTATGGGATGTAATACACGTTTCACTACCTGTCACAGGGTCACGTACTGTTACCCCAGGAAAGCCCTGAAGGCACATGCTCATTTCTCCACCCCACCTGGCCCTGCCCCCAGGAATGATGTTAAGAACTGCAGTGTCCCCCAGCCTGCGTGGCTCAGTGGTTAAGTGTCGACCTATGAACCGGAGATCACAGTTCGATTCCCGGTCAGGACACATGCCTGGGTTGCAGGCTTGATCCCCAGTGTGGAGCGTGCAGGAGCCGATCAATGATTTTCTCTCATTATTGATGTTTCTATCTATCTCTCCCTCCCTCTTCTTTCCTCTCTGAAATCAATAAAAATATATTAAAAAAAAGAACTGTAGTGTCTCTGCCTCTGTTCATTATGATACCATCCAAGGCACTGGAACCTTATCTGTCCCTTTTCCTTTTCCCTCCTCTCACTTAAGTCAAGGGAGCAGCCAACTGTTCTTGAACCAGGCAGAGACAGAGACAGATATGTAATATGCAGGCAGGTCCAGCCCTATGAAAGGTGCAATGGGATATATATATATATATATATATTGATTTTAGAGGGAGAGGGCGAGAGAGATAGAAACGTCAATGATGAGGGAGAATCATTGATTGGCTGCCTCCTGCATGCCCCCCACTGGGGATTAGCTTGAAACAGGAATAGAACTGGGACCTCCTGGGTCATAGGTTGATGCTCAACCACTGAGCCACGCTGGCCCAGTTGGATTTTTTTTTAAAAAATATATTTTATTGATTTTTTTACAGAGAGGAAGGGAGAGGGATAGAGAGTTAGGAACATCTATGAGAGAGAAACATCGATCAGCTGCCTCCTGCACGCCCCCTACTGGAGATGTGCCAGCAACCCAGGTACATGCCTTTGACCGGAATCGAACCTGGGACCCTTCAGTCCGCAGGCCGACGCTCTATCCGGTCAGGGCGGATTTTTTTTTAAAATAAAGCCAATCCTTCCTCATAGTATGCTATGTTCTGGAAAGGGGATGGGCCAGTGTATAAAAGGAACCCTTGACAAGCATTTTTTTCCCCCTGGAATGTCCATGTAACCCAGTGGAAACATTCTGGGGGGCTTCTGAGAAATAAATGTCTTAAATTTTAAGAGGGTCTCTTCTTTTCTCTTGATCTTGTGCAGAGATATGAGGCTTGGAACTGCTGCAGTCACCTTGCTCCCAGCCTGGGAATAAACTGACACCTGTAGGGGACACAGTGTAAAGAACCAGATTTGGGGCTGTGGCTGATCCACATTCAATCATCACCCCACAATGGTCTTTTCAATTATCTTTGGATTGGATTTCCTGTTTCTAAGAGCTGTTTTAATCGGGTTGTCTGTTCCCTCAGTTTGGAAGCATTTTAACTGGCACATCCTGACGGGTGTCTCTGGGCAGATACAGTCCCACTGGAAGAGATGGTGATTCCCATCTGGCCCCTGAGGGAGTCCATTTCTCTTGTGTTAAGCAGAGGGGTCAGGCTCCATGACCTTGTATTTGTAGAAGTCGGTCATCAACGGGACATCACCAGGTTTCTGGCAATAGTTGCCCATCCTCTGCCGTACTTCTGTGTAAGTCAGACCTCGGGGCCTTCCAGACTCACTTACCATCCTGAATGACACAGTTTCTCTCACGGTTGGTATCAAGTGGCCTCACAGATTGGCTGAGCAGAGAGATCACCAGTATCAGCAGATTGCTTGGATTTCTAAGCCTACCTTTGGTTTACCAAGGATTGCTAAAGACAAGGCATGGGATTTTCCAAACTGAACATTACAAATTCATGGCCTACATCTGTGCTCACTCTCTTCCCCTCTACAGCAGCAATTTCAAATCTCCTTCACTTGCAGCAAATATTCTCACCTATTTCCAGAAAAAGTTAAAAAACGACTTCAGGCAGCAGCCACAACCTACCTCCACGAAAACAAAGATACCTGCACTTACTCTAGTCCTCATAAGGACTTGAAAGGAAATGGCGTCCTGCCTGCCCTCCCGGCTTGGGGTGCAGCAACTGGGCCCCTGGGCTTTCCCCAGGAAGCCCAACTAAAGGGAGGGGAGAGAAATAGAAGCAAACAGGGTAATGCTACCCAACAGTAAGAGCTAGAGAAGCAGGAAATGGGCCCTGCAGCTAAACCCTGGCGAGGACTATTGGCAACAAACCAGAGGATGCCCCGCCCGCCCACAGTTCCCATTGCGCAGCCTGCCCAGCCACGAAGCGAGGCCTCGGGCCCAGACAGGCTTAGGTCCGTAGTGGAACATTGGGAACACCCAAGAGCCTCCCCAAGGCTGCCAGTCTGGGCGCGCAAACACGACCCCCAGAGGCATTAGAGGCCGGAGGCGGGCTGCTGAGCAGGCCCCTCTGGTATCCCTGGGCTGCTAACATAAACACTGTAGTTTCTCTGCCCACCTGATGTGGACAACAACATTTTCCATGGCTCGCCCTTTCTGGTGGAGAGTATGTTCCCGAAAGAGGCACACCAGGGAATTGGGGCCGAGAAGTCAAACTCAGAGTGAGTTTGCGGGATGATGTGGGGTTGAGACTGGGCCAACCTGCTGCCCCGCGGGTCCCCGGGGCGGGGCAGCAGAAGGGGGAACGCTTCCTCGGGACCCCGCCGCCCGCCGGCCGACATCCCGCCCCTCGCCCTCCCTCCTGCCGCCCAGAAGGCCAACTCCGCCTGCCTGAGTCACGGCTGGAGCTGGGGAGGAGCCGGGGAAAGGCGGCCCCAGCCCAGAGCTCAGTCGGCTGTCGCAGGGAGAGCAGGCCGGGGATCATGGGGGAGAGCGCGCTGGAACCGGGGTCGGCGCCCCGAGCGCCGGCGGAGGGCCCGGTGCACGCCGTGACCGTGGTGACCCTGCTGGAGAAGCTGGCCACCATGCTGGAGGCGCTGCGGGAGCGGCAGGGGGGCCTGGCACAGAGGCAGGGCGGCCTGGCCGGCTCGGTGAGCCGCATCCAGAGCGGCTTGGGCGCGCTGAGCCGCAGCCACGACACCACCAGCAACAAGCTGGCGCAGCTGCTGGCCAAGGCGGAGCGCGTGGGCTCGCACGCCGATGCCGCCCAGGAGCGCGCCGTGCACCGGGCCGCCCAGGTGCAGCGGCTGGAGGCCAACCACGGGCTGCTGGTGGCGCGCGGGAAGCTCCACGTCCTGCTCTTCAAGGTCAGTGACCTCGGGCGTCCCCCAATCCGGGGCCTTTTCCCCGCCTCCGGGCCACCATCTCGGGGGCTCCCCGCTCCCATCCGCCCACCACACCCACATTCCTGGCCCTGCCGGGGGGAACAGACTTCCAGAGCCGCACCCGCTCCCCACACCCGGCCCCTCCCCCCTCCGCCACGCCTGACCCGGCCTGGCCAATCACAACCCGGCCAGCTCTAGTCAGGACACGTCCATGGAATTTGCTCCAAGTCTCACCCCATCCCTGAACGAAAATAACGGTGGTGGAAGTGCATCCCGCAACAGCGCATCGCTCCTCCTCCAGTTCTTGCCCCTGCGGCCACCCTCCTCCTCTCGCGCCCCTAAGCGGGTCCCACCTATTGAACAAACTTCTGCAGTTCGCCCCGCCCCCTGCTTTCCCACGCCTGCCTTTTCTTTCCCACTCGGGTAGCGGGGGCTGAGGGTGGGGCGGGCTCCCCTGCTGTAATGGAGGAGTGAGGCGCAGGCTGGTGCGGGGCAGGGGGCTGCCGGGGTCAGTGCTGTGTCCATCACCTGCAGGAGGAGGCTGAAATCCCAGCCAGAGCCTTCCAGAAGGCGCCGGAGCCCTTAGGCCCGCTGGAGCAGTCTGAGCCCGGCCCAGAGCAGCTGGAGGCTGAAGTTGGGGAGAGCTCGGATGAGGAGCCCGTGGAGTCCAGGGCGCGGCGGCTGCGGCGCACGGGGTTAGAGAAGGTACAGAGCCTGCGAAGGGCCCTTTCCGGCAGAAAAGGCCCTGCAGCGCCCACGCCTGTCAAACCTCCCCGCCTCGGGCCTGGCGGGAGCGCTAATGGCCAACCCGAAGAAGCCCTGCCTGCGCTGGAGTCCAAGCTGGAGCCAGAACCTCCTCAGGACACCGAGCAAGATCCCGGGAGACCTGGGGCTGCCCAGCTGGCCGTGCTCCAGATAGAGAGTGCGGCCTGATGGCTGGTGCGCCTGCCTCCCCTGTGCCTATGCTTAGTCCCAAAATAAATCTTCCTCTCGGAAGGCAGCATTCACGCCCAAATAAGGAGCGGATCCTGCATCCACAGCCCAGCTTTGGTCCTCCCTCCCGGGATCCTTCAGCCCAGCACCCTGGGTCCTGGGAGCAGCCACTTACACCTGCTTGTACTCACCATCAATAAAAGCAATGCTACCTAATCCAGACTCCATGGGAAGGGGTAGGGGGCCGGCGGGGGGGGGGGGGGGGGCCCGGGGGGGGGGGGGCAAGGAATAAGACAAACGTGGGAACCAGGAATGTGGCTTCCGTTTCAGATCGTTGTATGATTTCTCTAGTTTCCACGGAATCTGAGGCTCTACTCCAGGGGCACATGCAAATATCCTGCTGGCCGCTTGCTCCTTAGGTGCTTTCCTCATGGGGACACATCCTGTACCGTCCCTCGCTGTAGGTTCTCAATACATGCCAACTTGTGGTTTTCCTCGTAGTCTCTTCTTCCTCTACCACCTCCTGAGAGTTGGGTTTCCCAGGATTCTGTTCTCAGCCCTCTTCTCATTCTGGGTACTCCTCAGTTAACATTCACTTCTACCAGCCACATGCCCCCCAGACCACGGCCTTGAGCTGAAAAGTGCTGCAAATTCAATGTGTTCAACCTATCTTCTGTGTAAGTAAGCCCAATTTCAGTTCTGCAGCTATTTATTGGACACTTCCTATCTATTGTTCAAAATTGCTCCTCCTCTTGTGTTTTCTTACTAATGAATGGCGCCATCATCCACGCGGAAAACTGGCAGTCCTCTGACAAGTCCCTCTCACACTCCTCTACCAATGGAAACAGTCATCCTATTGCTTTGACCTCTGTAATCTGTCCACTTTTCTTTTTAAAAAAAATATACCTTTATTGCTTTCAGAGAGGAAGGGAGAGGGAGAGAGAGAGATAGAAACATCAATAATGAGAGAGAATCATTGATCGGCTGTCTCCTGCACGCCCCATACTGGGGATCGAACCTGTAACCATGCATGTGCCCTGACTAGGTATCGAACCATGACCTCCTGGTTCATACTCAACCACTGAGTCACGCTGGTCGGGCTGTCCACTTTTCTTAATACGCATGGCCACTGTTCCATCTCAGGCCTTCCCTTTCACCTGACATTCACATTATGTGAACTGCCAATCTGATCCCATCACCCTCCTGATTCAGACCCTTCAATGGCTCCCCATCTCCCTAGAATAAAGTCCAAGCTCTTTAACATTACCTTCAGTATCTTCATATAACCTTTTTGTAGCCTCACCTCTTGCTACTTCCCTTAATTCTACTAAATTGCACTAAGCAATGTATTCTAACTCTCCTCTCTACTGTCCTGCAAAACTCAGCAAGCTACCCCTGTTTCAGGGCCAGGGGCTTCTCTTCCTTGCTCCCAGCACCACCTGCACACCTCAGTGCTACCTGCACTAATCCTGATTATTGGCAATTTCTCTCCCAATCCCACACCTCTAGACTGTGGTTCCTTTGCAGTAGGGACCGTTTTATTCATTTCTGTATTTCTCACACCAAATACTATGCTTAGCACCCAGTAGGGCCTCATAAAGCAAGAACATCTCACAGAAGTGAGAAGCAGGAGGGATTGGCTAGGGATGAGAGCACGGTCATCCACTCATGCATTCAGTCCTTGCCTATGAAAATGTTTTCTAGTACCTACCTGTGTTCCAGGCTCTATGCTAGGACTTGTGAACACCGAGATGACAACGCTTTCTGAGTCTGTCAAGGACCTCAGAGTTTAGGGAAATACAAACATAATTACTAGAGGCCCGGTGCACGAATTCATGCACCAGTGGGGTCCCTCTGCTTGGCCTGCGGGATCAGGCTGAAACCAGCTCTCCAACATCCTCCGAGGGGTCCCGGATTGCAAGAGGGTGCAGGCCAGGCTGAGGGACTCCACTGGTGCACGACTGGGGGCAGGGAGGGATGTGGGAGGTTGGCCAGCCAGGGAAGGGACCGTGGAGGAACTCAGGGCGTGTCCGGCCCATCTCGCTCAGTCCCAATCAGCGGGAACCCCAGCAGCACCCCCAGCAGCCAGCTCAACCTACCAAGTCCGGAGGCGCCTTCCCCCCTGGGGGGCCGGGGCATTTCATAG